GGCCACATAACGGTCATAGGCCATTACCACGAGCAGCACCATCTCGCACCCTCCTACAAAATGCACAGAAAGGATCTGACACATGCAACCTACAAAGGAGATGGTGCTGTTCTCCCTGAGAAAGTCTGTGATCATCTTAGGAGTGGTGACTGAGGAAAGCCACATATCAACAAAGGACAGATTGGCCAACAAGAAGTACATGGGGGAATGGAGATGAGGATCAGTGATGATTAAGATCACAATGACGATATTTCCAGATACAACGATGAGGTAAAGCATAAAAAATACCATGAATAGTAATACCTGTGTATTCCATGAGTGGCAGAGTCCCAAAAGCACAAATTCTGACACTACAGATTGATTTTCTCTATCCATTTTATTTAGTGTGACCTCTAAAATAACCTAGAGATAAGGATAGATCGTCAGTTAGTGGAATGTAAAAGGATATTTAATTTTTAGAATTTGATGTTTACATTTAAATTCAGCATCTATATCTGAAAGTGAAAAGTATAATTGAAAAGAGCAGTATTGGCCAAATATGTTTGGTATTGTAGTGGATTGAATGATGTCCTCTCAAAACTCCCTGAAGCTCGAATTGTGTCCTCCAATGTTTATGTATTAGAAACTTAGTCCCCACTGTGGCTGTTACGAGGGTAGGAAATCCTATTATGGTAATTGAAAGGTGGAGCCTTGAAGAGGAGATTGGATTGTAGGACCATGCAATAGTGAATGGGTTAAAAATGGTGTTCAGGGGCATGGTTCTGAGGGCTTTAAAAGTAGAGGAGAGTCTGCCTGTCTCTCTCTCTGCTTCCACCATCTTGCAATGTGAGACCTCTGGGTCACTGTTGCCACCAACAGATGGACTTTGGACTTCCCAGTCTCAGAAATTGTAAGCAATAAATTTTATTTTCTTTATAAATCACCCAGTCTCAGGTATTTTGTTATAAGCAACATAAATGGACTAATACAGGAATTATGTCCAAAGAGTAGCTAAGTGCCTAAAACTGTTCTTTTAAGAAACAGAGCCTGGCATAGGATTGCTGTGCAAATAATTTACTGAGAAGGTGCTCTCATAAGAAGGAAATGGGGAAAGCAGGACAACAAGGTAAAAGGATAATAAGAGAGGGGGTCCTGAGGCTGGGGCTTTGGGATGCCCCGCTCTGCCCTGCCTCCTGCCCACAACTGTGGGTCAGCATCTCACCCATGAAGTGAAGCCAAAGCCCACTGTAAAAGGAACAAACAAACCAATAGAAGAGACACCCAAAGATGAACTTCGACCCATTACACTTGAAGAATTTGAGTGTGACAGTGTGGCGCCACCCCCAAGTTAACTGCTGCAGAGACAGAGACCATGAAAGAGCTATCCAAGCAAGAGAGGAAGAACACCAGCACAGACTTAGAGGAACCCTGTGACTGAATCACTAAGGCACGTTTGTATTTAATTTTATTTTGTTCTTATTCAAGCAAAATTAGAATAAAAGATTAACCTACTATAAAAACATTATGTCCAAAGAGTAGCTAAGTGCCTAAAACTGTTCTTTTAAGAAACAGAGCCTGGCATAGGATTGCTGTGCAAATAATTTACTGAGAAGGTGCTCTCATAAGAAGGAAATGGGGAAAGCAGGACAACAAGGTAAAAGGATAATAAGAGAGGGGGTCCTGAGGCTGGGGCTTTGGGATGCCCCGCTCTGCCCTGCCTCCTGCCCACAACTGTGGGTCAGCATCTCACCCATGAAGTGAAGCCAAAGCCCACTGTAAAAGGAACAAACAAACCAATAGAAGAGACACCAAAAGATGAACTTCGACCCATTACACTTGAAGAATTTGAGTGTGACAGTGTGGCGCCACCCCCAAGTTAACTGCTGCGGAGATAGAGACCATGAAAGAGCTATCCAAGCAAGAGAGGAAGAACACCAGCACAGACTTAGAGGAACCCTGTGACTGAATCACTAAGGCACCTTTGTATTTAATTTTATTTTGTTCTTATTCAAGCAAAATTAGAATAAAAGATTAACCTACTATAAAAACGAAAGATAGTGGTATCACCTAAAAACCAGCTTCATTCCACTCGTCCAGTAAAAAGGATATTACTAGGGCACCACCAACAACCATTATACTAAATCATTAAAATTTAGGTCATATACTTAGAAACATTACAGCAAAGTGATATCGAAATTTAGTACAGATGACGTGGTGCAACATTGGTTTCTCCATACCTATTCTATAAGAAATCACAAAACTATTTTTTTAGCTTATCACTCTATAATGTATGTTGGAGCAATCTTTTTGAGAGAAACTACATAGAAGGTCATATAATAAATATCTGGTATGATGACTTGGATACAGAACCAGGCACATAGATTTCATTAATTAAAATCTGCAATTAAATAGAATTGATTAAAAAATCTGTGGAGAGTCATTAAGAACAAGATTAACCAAAGTGGAAGGCAAGTCAGACTCAAATTCTGACTTCATGAACTCTGAACGGAAGCTCCTAATATAACTCAAGCGTATCAGTGGAAAATATTTACCTTCAATTATATGCTGGGAAATCTAAATATTAGCATCTCCTGACCATCAAAGTTACAAAAGTTATCTATCTATTATCTATCTATCTTAGCTATCTACCTACCTACCTATCAATAATCTAAGATAAGATCAAATTTTTTAAGATAAGAATAAATTACAGATGTAGAAAAGTACATCTTTGACTGTCAGTGCTGAGTGTACATGAAGTTAAAACTTCAGTGATCATCAATTATTCACCTCCAAATACAGTAATGATATTGCTCATATTGATCCCTAAATAAATTGAGAACTCTTCTCAAGCTGGATATTGGAAAGATAATTGCCCATTTTTCTTCCCCCTTTATTATTTATAACGCCTGACATTATTTCAGTTATTTTTAATTCTCATCTTTTTTTTACTCTTTGAAATCTTACCAGTGAGAGCAGGTGAACAATAAAAACCATCACCACATTGTGGGCACTAGAACTCAGAAGCATAGATTAAGGATAGAAAGAAAGAAATTCTCCTAAAGAGACTAGGTAAAGCACATGTTTGCTGTGGAGAAGGAGACATAGGACAGTAGTCTCAAATTACAAATAAACATATGCTCCGTATGGAGGAGATTTACTTAACTAATAAAGATAATATTCTCATATTATGCCTAACAGATTTATGTCCCCTGAGAAACTTGACCAACCGGAAATTTATTTTGAGACATAATTTATTATCAAGACAAATATTTCCAGAATAAGTTTTTAACAACTGGTTCTATACCTGTTGGAATAAGTGATAGAGAAGGTGGCTAATAGCAAAAGCAGGATTTCAGCTGCATTTCAGAGAAGAATTTGCTAAAAAGATGAACATGTACATTCCTAGGTACCAACTCATCAATAAGAAATCATGCTACATTTTTATCATTTTAAAAAATTGCTAATATTTTATAATATTTAGGGAGTAATTATATTACTCAATATTAATCCCATATTTAGAAAAATTAGTAGAATAGCCATAGATTTTTTAATTAGTCAGATCTAATCTGAAATCTCACTCTATTACTTGTTGACCTGTGACCTTGATCTAAACATAGTTCTGTTTTCATTTCCTCAACTGTAAAAAGAGGACACACAATCTACTTGTTGTGTTGCGAGAATAAATCAGAAAATATACAGGAAGCACTTAAACTTTTCTGGTACTCGGAATGTTAATAAATATTAGCTATTTTCCCTCTCTGTTATTTAATGTGGTTGTTAAAGGAGTAGTTTCCCAAGTCTATTCGCAATTTTTTAAATGTACAGCCACGTACTTTGTGTAAGCAAAATATACACAATCACCTTTCTTTAAAATACCTACTACTTACATTTTTTCCAAATTAACATACATATACTAAGCAACCCTATAGGACGTACAGACGCAGAGGACATAACACACATGCTGCTGCCATTCCAGGAACATAACAAACAACTTTTCATCCTATACTTTTGCTCTTGCCCAGGAGGAGTTATTACTAATTTAAGAGGACCTACAAAAAACAATAGGACGCTCTATTAAAGCAACTTTGCAATTGTTATCTTTCAATTCAGCGATAATTTTCACCAACTGGGGTAATAATAATTCTGAGATTGGTGAAATTGAAAAGTTAGGGAAAGTAGACAAACTGAATCGTTCTTTCAGGAGATGTAAAATAAAGAAACATAATGTCCTCCAGGCACAAAAAGACACATACTGCACAATCTTACTTATATTTGGAATTTAAAGTGCCTAACTCACAGATACAGAGAGTAGAATGGTAGTTACCAGAGGTTGAAGTGGGAGGGGGGATGGGAAGATGTTTGTCAAAGTGTACAAAGCTTCAGTTAAACAGGAAGAATTAGGTTTATTGATTTACTGCGCAGCATGGACCTGTTAATAAAAATGTATTATATAATTTAAAATTTCTAAGAGTGCAAATTTCAAAGGTCTCATCACAAGTAATAATAAGTGAGGTGATGGATATGTTAAATAGTTGATTTAATCATTCCTCATTGTAAACATATATCAAAACATCAGCTTGTATCCTATAAATATACACAATTATTAGTTGTCAATTAAAAATATATAAAATATAGCAACAAATTTTTTATCCTTTTCTAGATTCAAATCATAAAGGTTCTTTTCTATAACAATAACCCTAAAACTCTTTGAGATTCTTAAAATTTATTTTTTTAGAAGGGGAATCTTGTCCTCCGAGAATTTAATAGATTGCCAGAGATATATCCTGGGTGAGGTGCACAGGAAGGAAGTCCAAATTCCTTCCACTAGTCCATTCCATCTTCCTTTTCTCCTCTGGTTATGAGTTTTAATCCTATTTCTATAGTGGTATCACTTCTCACTGTATATGTAATCCTTTTTACTTCTAGCTGTATGCTAAGAGTTAGCATACAGTGCATATGCTCCGTATGGAGGAGATTTACTTAACTAATAAAGATAATATTCTCATATTATGCCTAACAGATTTATGTCCCCTGAGAAACTTGACCAACCGGAAATTTATTTTGAGACATAATTTATTATCAAGACAAATATTTCCAGAATAAGTTTTTAACAACTGGTTCTATACGTAGTGTCAGTCCCTGACCTAGTTATTTTCATCCTTTCTTTTATTTTATTTCATTTATTTATCTTTATTGGTTGTGAATATTCATGTGGTACAAAGCTGACTCACCACTCGTGCCCAAGATGTGATGGCCAGATCCATACTGGCAGCAGGTCCATTACCACAAATTGCAATTATACCCCATGTCCCCCCCCAATTGTCCTTGCCCTCCCTCCCCATCCCCTTTCCCCCCACTCCACTTTGTATCCCTAGCTGTGCTCTCTCCCTCTGCGA